TATATAAAGAAAGAAAGAACTTTTCTGTTATTTTATCATTTAACACGTTTCCACTTCTAACTAAACATTATTTTATCATCGTATTTTAGTAGTATTTTGTTGCGAATTAAATTTGAATTAAACAAATTGTATATTATCTGATTAATCAAATTTATCTAACAAGGTTGAAACATATAATAAATTTTGAGCTTTCTAAAATATATTCTTGACCGATGTTTGACGTAATTTGATGGCACTATGTTGGCTAATAATGATGATTTTCTTTTGTCGATATATTTGTCGATACAATATTTAAAATTAATTTTTTACGAAATTAAGAATTCTTATATTATTATATTTTTTTAGAGTGACGATATAAAATTCGAAAATCATGTGAAATTCATTATTCAATATCTTGCGGAGGAAAAAGTTTGTAATGAATTTATAATGATTTTGTGTTCTATAGATGATTCATAATTCAAGTAACAAGTGAGAGAGAAAGATAAAAACAATGTTATTTCAGTCTCGCAATTTCTTCTTTTGTTTCCATAGAAAGAAGTGTTATTGCTTCAATCTCAGTCTTTCTTTCTCGCTAGCATAGTTTATGAATCATTTATAGTTTACAATAGCTCTGCTAATTGCAAGAATATTTAGCATGCATTAATAAAAATTTGGCTTGTATTAAAATCCTACACGAAATAATTTATTATTACCGTTCAAAATTTTGTGATCTTATATAGATTTAATTTTTAATTAAATGGATGGTCCGCAATATTTTTATTTTATTCTTTGGTCAAGAATTATAAAAACATAATTAATACAAGTGCATAAAAGCAATTCGCAGGATGTACATGCATATTAAATAATTTTTGTATACATAAAACAATAGATATTTTAATCTCATATTAAGTCATCATCAGTACTCATAAATTTTCAAATTATATAATGGAATTTAGATATTATCAACATAAAGATTACAATGATTAAATATCGTGATTCGTTAGTGCGTGGCGTTACAAAAATCTTCGTTCTATTTAATTTGAATAACATAACTTGTCATGAATTTTCTTGTTGGTGAAGTGATACAATATATTATACAGTATCCTTTTTAATACAGAAGAGTTATTCCTTTCTTTCTAACGACGATGTTCGACGATCATCTCAATAAAATTTGATATGATCAATAAACATTTATTGAAATGAATAAGTAGAATACTTCACGACGGCAATGATGCGTCAGACTTGTAAATAACCTCACCCCTCCGAAACATACGTTCGATAACGGTATCAAAGTTGGAAATAAAATGTGCAAATAAAAGTTGTCGCAATCTATTCCTATTTCAGACGCGTCCGGCTTATTTATATGCGCTGCCGCGACGTTGCAATGACATTAAACAAAAGTTCGTCGTTTCAATGGCAATAAAAAACATGCTATTAATCATGTTTACCGAATAGTACAACTTAATCCAATTTTTTTTCCAACGTCTGTCGATTACGCCGTCGAGTATAAGCAAGGATCGCTAACGATATCATAAATGAAAACGTGTTGTCATTTCCTTAAGGAGCTTGCTGCTAGATTTCTTTCGAGATAACATCGCTAGTGTCGTTTAATTAAGCAAATCACGATTTCTAATTAAAATAGGATAAAGAAGGATATATATATATATATATATACTGTCTCTTTTTACATTATTCATTTCTCTCTTTTTCTCTTATTCATTC